TTACAGAAAATCAATTTGCATTTTATGAAAAACGTAAAATTCTTGAAAATGTGATTTTCAAGAAAGTAGAAAATCACCGATGAATTCGTATGTGGACAAATTGAAAATCGTTTTTTATTTTATATAATTTATTTTCCACTTTACAGTGTAGGAAGCTTGCTATCACCGTATCAGTTGTCCGAATGATTTTTATCATTAGCCAGCCAATCAAGAGCAAGTCTAAGTAGAGCACTTATGCACTTAAAATGCATTGTTGCTTTACTTGCGCTTGATTGGCTGGTCAAGGATAAAAATATTCCGTTCCTTTTTCCTTTTTTTACACTGTAAATTCGTGGATCATATCAGTGGATGACCGTATCAGCCACTTTATTGGCTTGTCATCTCAGTCTGCCAGTCATTGATCTGAAAAACCCTTAGAACACGAGATATAAATTTGCTGTACAAGGAGAGAAAAATTTTAAATTTAAGAGATCCCGTTAGTTGGAAAAGTTTTATCGTTACAACGTTAATAAACAATTAAAATATGAGGTCTTCAAATACACGGCTTCTCAACTTAGACTTTCATGCATGTTGTAATTCGCTGAGCTAATGTCTTCACTTAGTGTCTGTTGCTGTGGATTCGACCACAATGATGGAAGAGAACGACAATGCAATTGGCCAGTATGCCAACATTAAAATATGGACGAATATGGTAAAGTCGCGTTTCGCCAATTCAACTTTCGCCAACAGACATTCGCCATATTGGCGACTGGCGAATGTCGTGTGGACATTCGCCAGTACCTACGACATTTGCCATAATTAGCGAATGTCCACACGACATTCGCCAGTTATGGCGAATGTCTCGACGACAGTCGCCAGTACCTTTCCTCAGTATATGTGTGTGTGAGAGCGAGAGTGTCCGCACGACATTCGCCAATTTTTTTGGACATCTACTGGCGAACATTGGCGAAAGTTGAATTGGCGAACTGCGACACATCCACGAATATGGACTTCTTTTGACCAATAAGTAATGCTGCTGATCTCTTTGGCTGGCAGACTCTGAAAAAATGGATGATTTTCCTTTCTTCTCACAAAAGTGTGTGAAAGCTGTGATTGAAGTGGATGACTCCCAGTCACTTTAGGTTAAGATACACTGGGATTAAAAGCTAGGACTGAGGTTAATCCCAGCCTTTCATTTCATTGGTTGGAACTCGGAGAATAAAGCATGGAATATAATTGAGTTTTATTTAAATTTTATCTATATAATACATAATTAATTAGAAGAACATATTAAAAGATTATTGGACCTTCAATTAACAGATGAGATTTAAACTGTATCTTGGTAGAGATTTCATTAAGAGTTGATTGGCTGATACGCTTATAATGGATTTTTAGCTGTTTTAAAAAGAAAGAAATCAATGCAAAAAAACGCTGTAAAAAGTTACCTGCCAATAATAGTTGCTAATAGCTGCCAGAAGAAAAAATGTGCAGAGGTCAATTATGAGCGACCAAATAATGAAAATTTCTCAACTATAGGTGCGTATTTCTAGTATACAAAGCTAAGTTCACATGTTCGAATCTCTATTAGTCGATAGTTTTAGTTCAGAATAAGTAAATGAATCTCCTCCGCACGAGCATCAAATGTCACTGACTTTCTCAAAGAAAACATCGAACAGACATGTGATGCCACCACTTCAATTGTGGTGAATTAAGCGAGCTCTTGATTTTCAGTAATTTAGTGTGACCTCGGATTTTCTAGGAGCCACGGGAGGAAATCTAGTGTTCCATCTAAAATTGGATCGTGAGAATACTGGTGGGCATTTTCGAATTTACGCCTATTATGACCTGAATTTGTTTAAAAATTTGGAATACCTAAGACTGTACCAATATATTTTCCATATCTATTTCACATGCTCTGTCAAACACTCACTTTTTCTCAATGAGCCTGAGGAAATACGATTTCCGGCGAGATTCGTGCCGAGATTTGGTAACTTTGGTAACTCGCTGGGTAAAACTAATTCTTATGTGCTTTGGTAGTCTTAGTGGTCTAGATGACGGGAAATAATACGAGAGTTCATGGGAATACAATTTCATCGAGAAAAACGATCCCAAACTCGGAATAAAGGCTACAATCCCGCTTGATATTCGGATTACTGTGTATCCATTTAGACATCAAAACAAGCTTACAAATGCTCTACAAGATGTAGAAGAAGCAATGAGTCTTCTCATAGTATTATATGAAAGCATAAATCCACATATGCGACACATAGCAAAACTAAATTGTCTACTTAAAGGTTTCAAACTGCAAGGTTTAAAGCTCTCGTCATCTCCTATCGCTGACACGGCGGGTGAATAATATCAGGCATGTCGAGATGACAATTGCCATTTTCTTCTACAAAACAACACAAAAATTTCATCACTTACCTGTATATAGATATTAAACATAGTGAAGGACATGCGTTTGATGAAAAGTGACTGTTGCATAGAATCATATTTCACTCTTTCTGATGTGCTGACTCGATAGAGAAGAAGAGAATAATCGTCAACAGCAGCAACAATACGATAACATACAAGAAGCTCTATTCAACCATCGAAAATCAACCAAGAACAGAAAGGTAGGTCAGCATAGGATCACTCCTCACAAATATTAGTTCCATACTCACAACAAACTCATATTTGTTTCATTACCACTTTTTTCTAAAATAGTTGTGTATAAAAAACTGCAATGAGATAATCGTCACATTGATTGAACTACAACTGACACACACATCGTATCATTCTACTTCTAGCAATAATCAGACATGACTTCATCTCCCAAGGCGAAACAGCCGTCAACACCAAAGAAGTGTGATATCTGTCACAAACATGCTGGAATTACATCATGTGCAGGATGTTCTGTCGAAAAGACTTCAACGAACATCGACAACAACTCTGCATACAACTCGACAACATCATTCGCGAGCACGACTTTCTCAAAGAAAACATCGAACAGACATGTGATACCACCATTTCAAAGGTGTTCGATGAGATTGAGAAGTGGAAGATGGCTGCCGATCGTGCACGAGAAGAAGTGCGAGACATTGTGGTAGAATCGAAGAAGCACATGAAACGAATCACAGACGACATTCGATCGAGAATGGCAGAGGAGGACTTGTGGAGTATGATCTTGACCAATGGAAGAGTGAAATAACGCAGCTTACTGTAGTTATGAAGACCATGTCATCCACGATTGGCATCGAACAACTCGACTTCAATAAACCCAAAGACAAATCACAGAGACATATCACAGTGGATCGGGATTATGGGTGGATGGCAGTATCTGATTTACACCTACTCTACCGTGGTAGAGACACACTATGGTTGACTGATCGAACTGGTCGAAAGACAAACACACTTCGGTGGAGCAGGGGAGATGTCTGGGATATCTGTTGGTCACCATTTCTTGATAAATTTCTGATGTCGACTCCGAGAATTCACAAATCAAACAAGTATCAGACAAGAAAAAAACAGGCTTTCACGGATGCACATGTTCAACCAAACATTGTTGCTGAGTTTTCAGGATGAAGGACCAGCCGTTGAAGAGTGAGATATGAGATGAGGGAGAAAACATGAAGTTCTTGTGGGGAAACAACGATTTCTTCTGGAAAAAGATGAAGATTGTTTTACCATGCCCCTTTATATTAGATTAGAATAAAATAACACTCTTACCTTGTCGAAGAAGTAATTCAACAGCTTGTTGACTGTTAACTCCAACAAGTTCGGGCCAAGTTTAGCCTTCTACATAATTAATTCGGCTATGCATTATTTTATACAACTGTTACTGTGAGTGAAAATGGTGACTGGTTGATATTTGATGAGATTATTTTGCCCAATTACATTTTAATTGAGGTACAGAAGTGTCTTTTTTTTCTCTTGGAAAGAACGAAGGATAGTTACTCGTGCATGACTTTTTGTATTAAAATATGAGTAATATCTATTCTCTCTTCTTTGCAAAATGCGATAACGACGCGCTTAGAGGATGATGAACACCTTTGAGACAGTATAGCAAAGATATATCAGACAAATATAATAACCATTTATTGGCATTTCTTTATAATAAATTAGTTTAGTAATAATTTATAAAAAAAGAGTGCAATATTTTGGTTTTTTCGTTCTCACTTTTTTATCTATGTACTTTGCAGAACATGATGTCTAATAAAGTTTCTGAACAGCTGTTTTGTACTGTCATCAATATATAAATACTCTTCAGTTTTAAACAAATTTTCAATTAGCTTAAACTGTTCATCTATCCATGTTGTTAGTGTCATTTCGAATAAATTAATTTGATACTTGGTGAATAACAAACAGAAACTGTTACCAGACGCGTTTCTGACTGCTATTAGCAGAGATAGAGAGTGATACGAGAACAAGTGCCTTGGCTTAAGACTCCTTGAACCCAACTTAAAACTTTAATTTATACGGTTGAATGTTTTTTGTATAAAAAACGCTTCAACTATTTTTTGTATTTTATATATAAGTATATATATATGCTTGCTTATATTATTGTTCGTGGTGCCTTAGAAAATAAAATTTTTGTTTATTGCGACGCGTTTCGTTTTATTTAAAAATAAAACTCATCAGGCAATTATTTTGATCTAGAACACACACGAAAAAATAATAAAAAAATAAAAAATAGTAAAGGAAAAATTAAAAAAGCAGAAAGACACACACACACAAAATAGTTTAGTATGGGCTCTAGGCCCAATCGCCTGACCCTTGTATCAATTGTGCGGCTTGGAGTGGAGCTGTAGGGTCCGTGTTGCCGATGCCAAGCACCTCGAGTGCCTTTGGAGCGCCTCGAGTGTCTGTAGACAATGGTTGTTGTTGTTGTTGGTTTGATGCTGACATGTTCAATGAAAAATAATGAGAGCAAGGTTCATATCTACTGCGGAGGACGGAAAGTCACATGTAGTAGGGTTAGAAAAAAGGTCGAGGAGATCGGGTGCCTTGTCGGTTTGGGTGGCTGTTGATGTGTGGAGTACTGGTTGTGCGGCTGTATTCTTCTTTCTTTTCCGCCGGGCTTTTGGTTTATTGGCGGGAGTGGGTGCGGCGTTGGATGGAGTGGATGCAGGATCGGCGACGGGTATTATACGTTGGGTGGTGCCACGTGGTATGGATGTGTCCGGGTATGGATGTCGGTGTGGTGGTCGTGTTGTCTGATAATATGGGCGATATGGGTGGTCGGAAAGATTGTATGGTGGAAAATGTTGTGGTAATTGGATGGCCATAAGCGTTGGAGATGCGGATTGAGGCAGTCGGATGGACATGAGTGGGGTGTATGTTGTGCCTGGTCTTCTAGGGGGTAGAGGTGTTGGTCTGTAATTACGGCTGGTGGTGGTGTTAGCGGATAGAGGTGGTATGTTATTGTATGGCTGAGGTCTAGTGTGTGTTCTGGAGGGTTTACGGGTGGTCAGTCGACGTGGCGGGTCATAGACAATGATATTGTTTTGACCATCTGCGGCGGGGTGCTCGCGAACGTCTCGTGCCCTGTATCTGGTTGCGCAGTATGATGGGTAGTGGTCTTGGTGGAGTGGTTGTGGGTGAGGGTTCCTGGGTGGGAGTGCGGTATATCGTGGGATGGGTGCCGTAGGTGTGTTAATGCGGGGTGGCAAGCCGGGGTGCTGTGGGTTGGGTATATGGTGAGGTGAGAGTAATTCTGGGTATTCTGCGTTGGATGTGATGTCAGATGGCCGTTGGGTTTTTGGCGAGGGCGGTAAGGGTGTTTTCTTCGTGGCAGTGTTTGCTGTCACTACCGGGAAGTCTGCAAAAAGTCTATGTTTCTTTCTGGCCGGGGTGAGGGGTTTGTCGAGTATAATAATTTTGGATGCAGCGGTACCTGGCGCTGGGGGAGTTGGGTGCTCCAGCGGGAGGTTAGTGTCAGACTCTGTGCTGGTGTTTAGAGGCCGTTTTTCTTGTTTCCGTTGTAAGAAATCCTGGAATGCAGGTATTTCGGTTAGTACGGTAGCTGTTGTGGTTCTGGGTCGGACAGTGAATTCTGTGGTAGGAGGGTGTGAAGGGTTCGGGGTTGGTAGGGGGTCGGGGTCAGTGAGAGTGAGGTCATGCTCATTTAGTAATTCACCCTGAGAGGTTGGGTTACTTATCATAGCAAACGGTTGATCGGTAGGTGTGACAAGGAAGTTGTGATCAGGTAAGAGGTCGAGGTTAGGTGTTTGGTAGTTGGTGGGTGGTGATGGTGGTGCGATGTCTTCGGTCTGGTTTTCCATTCTAAAAGGCGAAAAACAGGGTTTATATTGGTGTCTGTTTGTCGCTGACTAGCGGTATTACGGTCAGCTGTGTAAGAGTGAGGCTTAGTATGTGTAAGGTGACAAACAGTTTCCTTTCTGTGAGGTGTGCAAGCGCAGTTATATCTCACGGAAGGGTTTTAGCAAGCGAAAGGGTAATGATTGTAATGGTGCTGTGAAAAAAATTTGTATCCGTTCTCCGATCTGATTGCCGGACTCGTCTCCAACAATACACTAAAAAATGAAAATCACTTTTAGCTGATTTTTATGTATCCGTTCTCGGACCTGATTGCCGGAGTCCGCTCCGACAATAGACAAAAAATTAAAATCACTTTTAGCTGATTGTTATACCGGGTGATCCAAAAGTTTTGCAACATCTTATGTTTTTCGAATATTTCAGCCTAGATACAACATGGTTTATTCAATATGTTTTCAAAAGATGCGCAATTTAATTCTCTACAAAATTCATGTTCACTATATTTGCTGTAATAAAATTCTAAATTTGTAGAGGTCAAACACTTCGATGCAATCAAGTTCAACTACTTCCCATCGATTCTCAGAATGTTTTGCGAATCTTTTGTGCACAGACGACAAATACTCAGAAGATCAGGTATTCATTTTTCGTTAGTGCATCAACAGTTTTTTCAAAGATCTATAAGACCTTCTCGAGCTGGTATCGGTTGCCGTAGCAAAAACTCTTTTATTTAATTTTGATCATGAAAATCGCTTCTTTGCAGCAATTAACTATTTCCCAACCCTATAAAACGTTCGTTTACTCTTTTGTGGTAAGAAAGGTAAATCGTTTTATTATCTATAAAATTTTATATTAATGATCTTTTTTTGACTATAAACGGCTTTCTCATAATCTTCTTCCTAATGAGAGCAGCTGGAAAGCGGAAATCGCGCTATTTTTCGAAATATGAGTCTAAAAAGAAATTGTCATTCAACAAGTAGAAACCAGCAGTGAAAATACTTGAATATATGCAATCCCTAGATATTTTTAAGGACTATCTATTGCCGAGTCGTATTTTATGAGCCCGATATGTATTGGAATTCTACACACGAACAATTGCAAAATTCAATGGGAAGTAGTCGAACTTGATTGCATCGAAGTGTTTGCCTCTAGAAATTTAAAATTTTATTACTGCAAATATAGTGAACATGAATTTTGTAGAGAACTAAATTGCGCATCTTTTGAAAACATATTGAATAATCCATGTTGTATCTAGGCTGAAATATTCGAAAAACATAAGATGTTGCAAAACTTTTGGATCACCCGGTATATCCATTGTTGGACCTCATTGTCGGAGTCGATTTCGACAACAGACTAAAAGATGAAAATCACTTTTAGTGGATTGTTAAATATCCATTCTCCGGCCTGATTGCCGGACTCGGCTATGAGAATAGACTAAAAAATGAAAATCACTCTTAGCTGATTGTGATATATCCATGCTCGGAGCTGATTGTCGGAGTCCTCTCCGACAACAGACTAAAAAATGAAAATCACTTTTGGGTGATTTTTGTGTATCCGTTGTCCGACCTGATTGCCGGACTCGTCTCCGACAATAGACTAAAACATGAAAATCACCTTTAGCTGATTTTTTTGGATCCATTCTCGGACCTGATTGCGGGAGTCGACTATCAGACTAGACTAAAAAGTGAAAATCACTTTTAGCTGATTTTTATATATCCATTGTCGGACCTCATTGCCGCAGTTGATTCCGACAATAGACTAAAAGATGAAAATCACTTTTAGTGGATTGTTAAATATCCATTCTCCGGCCTGATTGCCGGACTCGGCTATGAGAATAGACTAAAAAATGAAAATCACTCTTAGCTGATTGTGATATATCCACGAAAAAATAAAAGAGGAGGAGGTCGTATCTACAACACACCTAATCTTCTAGAAAGATACTGGCTACAAAAGCACTAATGACACGCAAGGGAGAATTGAGGGTTTGTTTGATTCTAAAGATTGATTACCTCGTAACCCGCGAATTGGCTTGCTACTACAACATTACTACAAGAGGGATGACGATCATTTTCCTGAGAAGAGGAATATTATGCAAAAGTGAAAAAATAAAAATAATACATGAAATCGAGCGTACTGACAAAAGAAAAGTCACGTCAGTCGACGGCTACTAGTTTTCTTTAAATATACAGTCTAACTACTGATATATCAAAAGATAGTACGTCGGCATGTATATATATTTCGGTATAAATAGCATCATGCCATTCTCAGTAAGTTACTTTTCGAGTTCAGATCATATTGATCCGAGCAGAAAAGTAATACCTTCGAGTTCTAAACATCTGAACGGAAGAGTATTAGGACCACCTGATGATACCGTTGAGCATCGGTCGAAACGCGTCGTGGTATGCTCAAGCAAAATGCTTCCGTCGTGTCTCGAAACCGACAGGAAGAAGTGGGATTTTGTTTTCCACTGGAGAGAATGTATAAAGTCAAATCCTAGTGCGTCTTCGCGAGTATTATTACGCGAGTCATTTTTGACCAACACCAGGAAATCCTATGAGATACTTTATTACGCCACGATAGTGAAGATGAAATACGCTTTTTCTTGTTTGTATTTTACGAGCTATTCCCTCTCACTTGTGTTAGTAGTGTCCGAAAGTGTGACATTACTACAAGAGACATGACGATCATTTTCCTGAGAAGAGAAATATTTGATGCAAAAATAAAAATAATACATGAAATCGAGCGAACTGACAAAAGAAAAATCGCGTCAGTCGACGCCTGCTATTTGTCTTTAAATATACAGCCTAACCACTGATATATCAAAAACTAGTATAGTAGTAGTAGTAGTAGCATGTATATATATTTAGGTATAAATCGCATCCTATCTAGGAGATCCTATGAGATAATTTATTCCCCCACGATATTGATGCTGAAATACGCTTTTTATTGTTTCTATTTCTCGGACTCGATTTCCAGAGTCCACTCCGACCATAGGCAAAAAATACCTAGTGACAGCGGTTGCTCTTGTCCTCGATGCCGCTGTAAGTTTCAAAAAGCTTCGCCTTTCAATAGACATCACCTGCACTTGCTATTGCTACTTCGCACTGTCTATTTCCAACTTCAGTGAACCCTGATTGCAACGGAAAGTGTACGAAAGAACCTCATTGTCCAAAACGCCATCACCACATAGTTCGTGCAAATTTAACCGCTACAAGTACACAATGTTGTGACCGTTGTGTTAAAGATGGTGATGGTCACAAATAAACAACAAAGTCAACATAATGAGACTTTAGAAGACTTCTCTTACTGAATTTCGCATGAAATAGACCTTTATCTCTCACACACAACAACTCTGACATGAATGTAACCAATGTCCTATAAAGAATGACACTTTTTGTTTTTGCTGTAACTCCGTCAGTTTTCATTTAATCCATTTTTAAAACTCTTTTTAAAAGGTTCACAGTTAAATTCTCTACAAACTGTAAAGTTTTATAGAGTGAAAAATATTTGAGTGGTGAAACAAGAAGTGATTACGCCTAAAAGCGCTAACTTTCCAAGTGAAAAACAGTAGTTTCAAGTTTCATGGTATTATAAGTTTCTAAAAAAGCGCTATTATGGAACAACGTTTTTGCTACTTCATCAAAAATTCCACGTAACTTGGTCAAAAGTCCTCATTTTTGGATAATTTTTTATTAATTTTTTGAAGCCTACAGTCCCACCTGTCGTAGAGACTCACATCTGAAATTTTGCCTTTTCCGCAGCGTCGACAACCTATAACCTAATAACTTTCGAAAAAAATGATTTAACAGTTTTCTCCTAGCGGAAGTTCTTGACTACTAAAAAAACAAGATCTTAGGAGATTTCTTGCTCAGGAAACGTTTCTTGACAATTCTTGTCTTTTTCTTGCTTCAAGAAATATTTCTTGTCGCTCCTCGCCCCAAGAAATGGCATCCTAACATCTTTTAAAGTATTTCTTAGAGGAACGTGCGGATAAACGATTTGATCATTGATCTGACTCATTCTTGGGGTACTAGAAATGAGTAGTTGAGCGTGATTCTCCTACGACTTTCTCCAGTGTAATAAAACTAGAAACTGCTAATTAATTTGGGTGTTACACTATTTCTGGAGTCTTTTTAGATAATGCGTTCAAAATTAGAAGAAGAGCATATAACTTTACAAAACTGTAATATTCATTGGAAAGTGAACAAGTTTACAAAGGAAGAGAAAAGGTATCACTAACGATGAATATACCAGAGTACTGTATCAGTAGAGTTGACTGACTCACTGTTGAAAATCATGAATATTTTGTGCACTATACTCTCTCTTTCTTTCTGTCATCTATACACCGTTGTGTTTGCGCGACACACAAACACACATAGTTAAAATGATTGTTTACACGTGCAGAAATGACAAAAACCTTGAAATCTTTATTACTTTTGTTTAGCATCATCGATCTGCGCCTCATATCTATGTTGGCGCTCAAAGTGAGGCGTTCCTTCATGCAAATACAGAAACTGACGTCTTCTAAAACACTGTTTTCTCGCGACTACACCGTTTCGCCTTTTCCTCTTTATGCCCACATGATGCATGACATTGTATATAAACAAAATATATATCCTAAATATTATATACAAAATATAAATCCTTTTTTTGTTTGTTAGTTGTTGCTATAGATGACCTTGGCACGATTATTAAGTAGCAGAGACCTTTTGCCTGTAAAGCTTCTCTTTGTAGAAGTCAGATAAAGCAAGGCAGCGTGGCCGAGCGGTCTAAGCCCTGTGAAAAAAGTCTTGACACAATGAGTGACTCAAAATGCGTTAGAATAAACTGGAGAGCTCAATATGGCGCTTACTTCGTATTTAACGAAGCGGAATGAAAAGATAGTTTTTTCGAATTTTATTGTGTGTTGTTTTCGATAGTAAATGTCTATTTTTGGCTCAAAAATATCACTTAGAGTTTTATCAGCGCCAATAATAATATAAGAAATAGGTTTTATAAAATATTTCAA